TTCTCTCAAATCTAAAGCAGAACTCAATGACGCATGTAGAAGATTGCAGATACGTTATAATGAGCTATTAGGTAGTAACCAATAAGCGAGCTGTCTCTGCTTTACTTTTTTCATCTTCCTTAACACCCTTCTCATAAAATACTTTTAATTCCTCCCCATATAATCCTTTACCCTGAGTGCCTTCGACTGAGTTTCTCAGCGTTGGCTTAGTCTGAATGAATCCCAAGGGGATAACATCAGGCAATTCAGAGATACGAACAGATTTGGCTTTTGGATCCTCCCTCCCAGTCTTTTTTAACTTATTTTCAGGAATAATGCTAGTCAGGGACTTGTGGGGGTCCGTTTTTTCTATATGAGATAAATCAGTATTTGTTGATACCATATTTTTAGAATCTGAAGGTGAGTCTGTTGGTGGATATGATACTATCTCTTTAGGATCTATCGGCGGATAAACTCCTCTCCATATTTGGTATACCTGCTGAGATGATATTTTATATTTATTTGTCATAACTTCTGATGCTCGCTTCATTGAATTTTTAGCACTAATAATATCCTGAATATCTTTTTCTGATAAGCGGGTCACATCTGATCGTAAGTAACATTTCATTTTTTCTTATAGTCAGAAATAATCTGTCGATAAATATTCGATATATTCGATATATATTCAGTACACATTTGGTATACATTCGGTGCATCTGATATATATCTAGTATATTCGGTGTATCCAGTGCATTCAGTTCATTCAAAACATTCGGTATGTTCGATACATCTGAAATATTTCCGATATACATCCGATACATACGGTGTATTCGATATATCTGAAATGTTCAGTTAGTTCGACATATATTCAGAAATTTCAGTTATATTATTTCTACTGTAATAACAGTCGAGTCAAAAAAAAAGCCATGAACAATGTATACACCTTGGGAGATATCAATAAAAAAAGCGATACTCCCTCTACGACTGGACATCGACTTGGTACTGCATATGAGCAAGAGCTTGAAGAGAAATTATACTCTGCTCTTAGTTCTAAGGCCGAATTTAGGGATCTTAATGGAAAGTTGGTAGATAAGTATTTAGGGAGAGAAAAGGAGTTTAAGCAAATCCATGCTGATATCAGAAATACGATTAGTCAGATGAATGCGCTCAATACTGAGCTTATATCCAAATTCACTTCTGAACGGATGACCCGTATGAGCTCGAAGCTGAAATCAAATCGCTTAAATCTTCTATTAAAACTCTGAAGAGAGAGGTGACTCTGACCCAGAAAGCTTCATCCTCTGATAAGGTCGAGATTCTCTCTCTTGAAGCTAAAGTACGTGAATTGGAAGGTAAATTGGAGGATATAGATCTAGAACGCACATATCATGATTTGGATGTAATGGGAGGGACGATAGAGGGGCCAGCTCAAATAAGCTCATCCGATCCCAAAGAGATCGATTCTCTCAGGCTTGAATTGGAGCAAGTGAGGAATGATTTATCCTCGAAAAAATACGAAATAGAATGTATGGAAAAGGGAATAGAGTCCTCAAAAAATATATACAATCAGACGATAGATTCTTTATTTTCAGCATGGTCAAATTTAATAGAGGTAAATAGGTCCCTTAGGGAGCAGTTAGCGTTAAAGAAAAATAATGAAGTAGATCTTCCACCCCTACCTATAAACAATTTATCTCAACTTAGTCCTGAAGAGACTCTTTCCAATCTTGACCTGACAATTTCTGTAGGTGGCGCAGAAGCGGTATCATTGTCCCAAGAAATGCCTCTAGTACCAGCTGTTCCTGCCGTTAAAAGTTCCTTAATGCTATATGCTATACTTGCTTTATTTTTCCTTATAATTATATGGATCATTGGGAAAAAAATATGGAATTCGTGGAGTACGAACTCAAGAAAAAAAAATATTAATAAAGAACAGATCCCAAAGAGATCACATAGGCCAAACATTTATTATCTCAAATCCTAATTGACTACCATATAAGTACTGGCGCTAATGGAACTTTTTCGAATCTTTTTTGGATATGAGCTAATACCTTTTCTGATAAATCTCTTTCAGCTTGACGCTCAGGCGAATTTATTAAGACTTTTTTAGCTTAGGCCACTGTATATGCTAGTAACCATCCAATATGAATGAACTCACTTCCCTTACCATTATGCCTATGCTGTAGTAAAAATTAATGGTCATCCATTACAATATCCGTCATTTTCTTCTGATCCGCTATTATTTTATGAAATTCCTGTCTATCCTCTTCCGTGATTGGAGGACGGATTTCATTGGGTTTGAAGCCTATGTATTGAGAAACATTTTTCTGTAGTTCGGTCATTATATCAATAAAGCTTATCTTTAAAATATGTAGATTTTTTCGGCTGATCATATTCTAAGGATACGGTTTTGCCAAATTAAAAATACTAATGATTATCCCAATCATCTCCGGACATATCTGAGGCTGAGCTATATGATCAGAGGCTGTAAGAATGGAATAATCATCCTAGGCCAGAAGATTGGAGATAGGAATTGAAGTTAGCCAGTATTATTGCACGACCGAAGGAAGAAAAAATATATAAATAATATTATGCGAAGTGCCTTAATAGCTAAGGCTTCTAGCAGAGGTGTGGAAATTTCAGCTAAGAGTACTGAATAATATAACCCATCTAAGTACTTTCGGTCACACTTTCAAGATGGAAATACCATAAATTACTAATTTCATCTAGCGCCGTTTCCTTTATGGAAACTATGTGAGGTAAAGCGGGTAGGTCAGCAATTATCTCATTTTTTCGCATGGACAAAACTGGGCCAATTTCTTCTGGAATTGATACATGCTCTTTATGACGCATATAATAGACCAATTTGTGGAAGAATAAATTATACTCTTCAATACACTTTGCAAGCTTGCTAGGATATCAAGCAAAATCAGAGCATATTTTTTCCTTCATTTCGTCATCTACCAAGAGGTTTTTATCTTTTGAAATTTTCCTAGTGCATTTCATAAATTTCTCCCATAATACCTCGACAGGGTTACTTGCCATGAAAATCTTGTAGCTAAGCCATTCACCATGAAATATTTCATATGAGTAATCTATCTTTTGATATAATATTTCTTGCGCTTTTTTAACCGCATGTTCATAAGCACGCTTATAAGCTTTTCTGCAGGATATCATCATCTTGAAAGTAACACCATTCACTATAATATTCTCTTTTACAAATCTCTCAAGTCATGACTTGACCTTGTTTTGAGCGTAGTTATCAATTTGCTTATATTTCTCATCTGGGTCTTCAATTCGCATGATTCGACTTGAGGGTTCTGGCTCATAATTCTTGTCATACATGATAAATCAGACACAGAGGCCAATAATAGTTTTTTTGAAATAATGGTATAAATCTAGTTCCTTTTCCAATTCCTTAGCTACATCGGCGAATTCCATTTTTTCACCCTTAGTTGTTATTAATTTTCTACCATGTAAATCAAAAGTGTTTTCAGGGTGAGACACTACATAATTAAAGCGCTCACCTGGTACTGGAATCTTACTATCATATTTTCCTCTCATTCGACTTATAAACCACTGAACGACTTTGTTATCTACATCAGATTTCTATGCATCAGTCTCTATAAACTGCTCAAAATCCCATTGCTTGGGATTGGTTATGGCATCCCTGATAACGTCTTCAACAATTTTATGGAGAGAGCGCTCATTATTGACATTCCTGACTTCATTCATAATCCGTTCACCTATAATCTTAAAAAGCTAGAATTTGCCTTGTTTCACAATATCAATTCCTCTAATGAAGGGTTTCTTCAGACTGAAGTTTACTGTATCTTCATGAGGAGTGCCAAAATATTTTTTCTTCCCAGTGAACACTACTGGGAATAATACTTCTTCATAAGCCATCTTAAGATAATCTGATCTAGTTTTTAGTCTAAGAAAGGTGTTTACTTCATTGCGTAATTTTTCCATTACGACCATAGTAATCTTAACCATTTCAGTCCAGTACTCTAGTTTCGAGATTGTACCTTTCCCGTCATTGTAGGCTAAATCACATTCCTCATAACAAGAATCTGGGCAAGTGAGATATAGGAATTCGGTATCACCATATTTTATCCCAAAACCTTTCTTTTTCACGAATTCTGCAACGAGTTTGATATTTTCTCATCCAGCTGAAGTAACACCTCCGGCGAGTTCTATAAACTTGAACAGGGAATCGCTATTGCCCATCTCACTATAAAATGAATTCATAAACAATTTAATCGCTTTCTGCTTCGAATTCAAAAATTTATGGTCGAAACAGACAGAATCATATTCTTTACTGAAACCATCTTACAATAAACCAATAAAAGGATTCAGGATATCGGCCATTTCGGCATGCTTCTTCTTATCTATTATCGAGGATAAAACATCTTTGATTGCACTTGCCACCAAGAAAGATCCGTCAATACTAGTCGAATCCATTCTATTTTTATCTCCCCCATATAGTCCTTTTTCTTTCTGAGAAGTTTTAATTGGGTCTTTACTCTATTCCGCATATTAAGCAAATTTTTTAATATTTTTGGAAACAGACTTTTCTGATCAGATTTATTCTCGTGCCATATGGTCCATGCTCGTACGTCTCAACCATTAAAGCAAAATTCAATATTGTGGAGTACTTTGTTCTCTCTTTTTAGCGCATTCGCTTCCAAAATTCTTGTAACCATCTTTTCTGGTGAGAGATTATAGTTCATAATTATGCTAGGGTACAAGGAAGCAAAGTCCAAACCCGTCACAGGACGTTTATTCTCAAGACCTTTCTCAGGAGAGAAAACATATGCTCCCGGATATTTCCCAGATTCTTTCTGCTCAGAAGCTTTCATAGTAAATAGAATATTCTGCGCCCACGCTTCAGTGCTTAAGAGATTACATACTTTCTTTCCTATGGCGTAATAATGCGTGTCGAATAAAGTTACATATGCGATCGAAGTGACTTCTCTATAATCATTTATAATATTACATTTGACCATGAGCTCCTGACAACGTAAAGCATCTATAACACAATAATTTATGATTTCGTGCATATTTTGGTTGCTAGAGGCAACTGAAGTCCTATCTTTGGCCTCCAAATAATACTTCCATAATTTACTCATGGGCATATCAGCTTTGCCATCGAGACCACATTCTACTAAGAAGTATTTGAGTGATGTTTTCTCAGAGCAGGGGTGGAGTTGCATAAAACTTAGACAAACATCGATAGGTACACATTCTGAAAGCTTAAGAAAGAAGGATTCGAACTTCAAAGTTGGATTGATTTTGATATCGATGGAATCTCGGCCTAATGGTTTTTTGGGACCCTTGTCCGCTTTCTTTACCCATTGGCTCCTTTGGAAGAAACCATTAGTTAGTGGCTTTCCTCTTTCACCAAAATAATTTCAAGTGAGAATGGATTCAGCATCAGCTTTCTTATGCAGGTTTGCCGACATTCGCTAAACCATCCACTTGAGAACATTTAATTTGGTAGCCTTTTCTACAATGAAAGGCCAATCATATCCTGAATCGTTAAAACCGAGATGGATGTCTGAGGCAAAAGATTTTCAATATAAAGTGAATCCCTTTAAGAGATTGTCTGATTCCCGCATATGATTG